TTCCCGCTCATTAACCCTTCACTTTAAAAGTCTGGTGTTCGTTCGAGCGCCTGGCTGAACAAACAGCCCGCTGTATGTGCCAACCTCGCCTCAGAGCAGCGAGCAAAGGAAAGCTGGATCAGCGTGACCGTGTGAAGCCCTGAAATGCTTCCCGCTTCAAACGACCCGCAACTCATTTATTCCCACCCGTCAGCAGGAAAAGCGAGGATCATCGTGACTGCGAGACCCGGGTGTCTCTGAGGTTTACAGGCGTTAACGGCAGTGAGAATCCGGTCCGACCTGACGCTTCCTGCTCAGGCTCGACGCCTTTGGGTCAATTTTTGCCAAATTTATAGAAACAAACAACAAACGTGCGTCTGTGAGGTTAGGAGACGACATAAAGGCTTCATGGCTCAGAGACACCGTAATGAGATGTGATGGACATCGTCTGAACTCAACGTTGGTGCAGCTCCAGCTGACCTGTGCACCAGAGAGAGAAAGGGATTTTTGGAGAGAGCTCTTTCCTGTTTAGATCCTTCCTCCTCTCTCATTCAAGTTTTCGTCGTCTTCCATCAGTCTGTTCCTGCCTCCAGCTCCTCCACACATCAGCGCAGACGGGAGAAAGTTGATGAGGTGCTTTTAAAAAGCTCTGAAACTCTCGATAAAGACCAGAACAGGCGCGAGAAAGCAGAAGGAGACGTCTTTAAAGGAGGAAACTGAAGGAGCAGCAGCGTGAAAGTAGTCCAGAAGAGGACGGGAGACCTGCCAGCAGCGATCAGCGTGATTGGCTGAGCTGAGTTTGAACCCAAACCCCTGAATAAAACACGAAACAGGCAGCATGTGGGCGCTGACGAGCCCCCGCGCTCCCTGTCCCAGCAGAGCCTCCGACACGCCGCTCGCCATTGTGTTTCCGACGGCTTTACGCGACATCGGGTTCAGTCAGAAGAACACTGATGCTGTGAGACGAGGAGGTCTTCCTGTGTTCAAAGGTCTAAAATCCTCTCAGACTCAGGACGAAGAATTGAAACACCAGATTTCATCAGCAGCACAAAATGAAAAAGTGAAAAAGTTCTTTAAGAGGAGAGCTGAGATCTCTGTGGGGGAAAGTTACAGGCGCTCAGCAGGAAATGTAGAAGAAGATAAAAAGTCTGCGTGGAGCACGAGTGCAGGGAAGATAAGATGAAAAAAATCCACCTGCTGCACCGATGTGACCTCACAGCAGCGAGCTGCTCAGTCTTTCTGCACGCACACCTGACCACGTGAACACCACAGCCCGGCACGCTACACGCTTCTGTACGAAACACGCTTTACCCGGACCCGACACCCGAGAGCGCTCCGCTCTAACCCGGCCTTCTTCTGGAGCCAAACGCTCTCTGGGCCGTTCACAGGACTCAGGACCTGTATCAGGGGAACCGGGATTTTCCCAGAAGGAAAAGCTCCGCTGCAGCGTTGCATTGTATGCTTCCCGATGACTAATTTCACAGTATTTACAAAGAGCCATTAAGCTGCCACACAGCCTCGCAGAGACCATGACTCACGTCTGCTTTTATAACTGAGACAAAACCCCCTGAGTCACTGAGAGGGACTCTGGCTTTTCCTCTGCTCCGTCACAAAGCACAGACGGGGCGATGCTCCCGATCGTTTACTGGGTCGACTCCAAACATAAGAAACGGTGAACGCTGCCGCTCTGCAGCAGCTTCAGATCAGCTTTCTTTCCATTTTTACAGTTAATACAAAGGGAACTTTCCCCACAGTGAATAATGCTGTGAAATGATCCAACAGCTGCTGCGTCCAAAACCTGCAGAAACACCAAACTAACGATGGACCTGCGACGCACAAAGCCTGAGCTGAGTTTATGGGATTAGTCTCGGTCTAATCTGAGCAACAGAGCAGTGCAGAGTCAGCGTGCTGACTGTAAACATCAGAGCTCTGAGAAGCAGGTTCTTCAGCATCAGATAAACAGAGCCCCCCCCCCTCCAACCAGCAGTATAAATCCTCTTAATCCTGGCCGGCCACCATCTGGGAGCTCCTTGTGATTTGGGTGATAACGGTCGGGGGCGACATCAGAGCGCCAGATGTCAGGAGGACGAGTCCGGGTCACTTGAAAATCAGACGAATGCGAAAAACGGAGGCGAGTGGACATCTGACCTCTGACCTCTGTGAGACAGCAGTTTAAGGAGCGGTGGCGTGATGTGCTCAGGTGATGGATCGGACGCGCCGAGGTGAGAACAATTGGTGGGGGTCATGTGACAGAGCGCGGGAATTCCCTGAGGGAGCTGGGGAACCGCCCCTCAGAGACACTACATGATTACCTGTTACTGTGAAATGACGCGACACTGTGATTGTGGCGGCAAACAACACCAAACACACACAGCTGACACGAACACAGCACTGGTTTGAGCCACGCGCCTCCTTTAACTCACACACTAAACAAATGTTTGACTTCTTTGGAACATCCTGTCTTATGGCGATGCTCATCCACCCCTGCACTCTTATTCTGAAAGTTCACTTGCTGCTAACCAGTTACCCTTCCTGTCTCCTGTCTCTCGACCACTAGGCTCATCACGCACACACACACTTGTGATTACAGTCTGAGTTCTTCTGAGAGTAAGAACACGAAGTGAAAGCTTCAGGTTTTTATCTGAAACACGGCTGAAATATTCACAAAGGTCTTTGATATAAGAGGCCAAACTTAGCAGCAGATTACGTCTCGCATATTCAAGTTGTGCTCCATAAAGTTTTGTCTGTGTGGATTTGAGTAACCCGTCTCCATCGAAGCTCAGCGCTGTGCTCTGCAGGGCTGACATCATGGACCAGATCCAAATCAACGTGTTTACAAACAAACATTTCTGTTGTATCCAAGATTTGCGACGCCGTTCTCTCTCGTGCTCCCAACATCAATTTCGGGGACAGACGTGTGCAAAAGCCTGCAGATGCTCCACACTGTGAAGGCAGCACAGTTTACACGTTTGTGGAGAATAAGTGAACGTGTGCTACGGCCCACAGCGCACACTTTTGTGCGATGCACTGCGGATCCTTAGGTCAAGTCATTTCGTTCAGTTTGTCAGCGAAGCCAGTGTTGAGGAGCGTCTGATGAGAGAAAGCCGAACCCACGGCAGGTATCTGGGTCAGCTCTGGTTTCACACTTTCCACTGACATGAAAACACTTAAAACCCCAAAAACCCGACGCAAGAGAACAGACGCAAAAGTGCTTCCTCCACATCTGAGCTGCTGTTAGAGGAAACGCCGGCATCACCGTCCGGAGACTTTCAGTCTGTGTGACAGCAGCAGGAGCCTCTCCGAGCCCTGTGACGACCCTGCACAGTCGGCAGCTTTATGACACAAGTCGATGCCGTGATTCAGTTTCTTTACGTTTGTTACTGAGAAAGGCCACCAGTAGAGCAGCGCGACATGGGCAAAAATATTTATCACGATATATATTTGAAACTTTGCAAAAACGATATAACTGACGATATAATTGATGCGA